TAAGTTTAGTCTTTGTGTAAGTATCCTATACAAATATCCAGATCCACAATCATAAAAACTGGCGCCAACGTTTTTTTTTGCTGTTTGCGCAAGCGCGAGTGTGTGTTAATAGTTAATGCGCATGTGTGCCGGACGAATAGCCAAAATGTGATGAGATCCGGTGCCAGACGAATATCCAAGGCGTAAACTTTAATCCCGCTTAGTGTCATATAATCGAGTTCTTGAAATAATTTATATACAATTGGCTGAGTACTTACACGTATTTTTGACAATATCACTATGCAAATAAACAATAATTTGTCAGTTAAACATAAAAAGCTAATATATTTTACAAAGTAAACATATCAATAATATTTTCAGTATGAGAAATAAATAAAAGTAAACTAGAAATTCGTGACTAGGCGGTTTTCAGGGGATGCTACGATACCCACCCACACAAATTGGCCCGAAGGGAAGTGCCTGCCCACACAAATCCACTCATAGTGAAATGCCCACCCACTTAAATCCACCCGAACGGAAATGCCCGCCTACACAAATCCACTCAGAGGGAAATTCCCGCACACACAATTCCACTCGAAGGGAAATGTTGCTACTAATATTACTGTTGATATTACGATTACTGCTTCCATTAGTTTTGTCATTGATACGGTTCGTTATCATGCTAAACAAATATTCTGTTGAATCTAATATTAATGATTTCACTGTTGTACTTAATGTCACCATTTACATTAACGTTCCTATTTTCATTATCACAGCATTTACATTTATTGATATTAGTACTGATATAAATACAACAATGGCACAATCATTTTTACCGTTATTGTTATATTCATCATTAGTGACATCGAATATTCGTTATCGTTATCATCTTTATCACTTATTCCTTTATTCTATTTTTCATATTTTGATTACTCCAAGGACAATAAATTCACACAATCATATTCATACTCCAATGTGTTTCTTTGGATATTTTTCATTTTGTTTTTTAATTACAAGCAAGATATTGTGGAAGATTCAAATAAAATAGAAAAAAGTGCCTCACTACTCTGCAACTTATATTATTTATACACACTACTCTCTACTTCACTAAATTTTGGAAAGTTTAGATGTATTTCTCTGATTCTGTCAAAATATGTTTTTCCTTATTGCATACATAGTTCTTCATATGAAAAATGGAAGTTGTTTAAGGTTTTGCATCTTATCGTATCCACAGCGAGTGAGCTTCGTGTCCAAATCAGACAACTTGGTAAGTCCAATGATCACGGGCATTTACTTGACTTATTGATTGAATTATATCAACAAATCAAGATATGCAACATTTTCTTTGATATTTTCGAACGTGTAAGGTTATATCATAGATGTAAGAATGATTTTAAAGACATTCATCCCACTGAAGTCAATAGCACGTCATATGACTAGGACACGTTGGAAATTCTTACCATGTTGTTAAGGCGACCGTCATGATTGACTTCAAATCTTACCCATATAATATGTATTTGATGCACTAATAAAAAGGCACAGAGACATTTTATTCAACAATAAGTTATATCAATAATCTTATGATGCAATTTGTAATTAATAAAAATATAAATCCTTAACTGAGACTCCGTGAAATATACCTGAAAAATATCGCGGTCTGATTGGCTGGTCGGAGCGTATCAAATCGTATCAAATTGCAGGCATGCAAATATCGACAGGTTCCAATAATGTACGCGTAAAGGGCAAGCATGTATAAAAGTGTAAAAAAATGTTAGGGATTTCGGAAATGCTACAAAAAAAACTTTTAATTTGCATAGGAAAGTAAAACAAGGAGCATTTAATTCTGAATTAGTTTCCAGCAACGTAAAACGTACTGTAAAAACAGCTCTTTCTCTCAGTTGCGGCTTTTAGTCATATCCTTGCAACAAAATGTCTCCGTCGCGTAATATCTGCAACATCGCACTTGATTCTGACTCCGTGATATCATTGACCACTTTGCACGTGTACTTGCCGAAGTCGCGCTTTGCCAGTCCCATGATGATGAGGGAAGAACTGACGTCACAGGACATTGGTGACTTCACCACCGTTTCTGTGGAGGGGCAGGGTGTGTTGGCATTAGTGAAGTGAAAATGAGAATTTCTGTAAAAAAACTTGTGTTAATATATACTTCTTTTTTAATTTCTATTTTCAATTTCCCTTATAGTTAAGCTACCTTTTTTGTAAAAGGAAAACGGCTCTATCAGCTGATATCAATGTGTGCATGTTCTCGTTTTAAGCTAATTTCGTGGTGTTAGGGAAGAGCATATAATAATGATGTCTCAGGTTTATTCCTTACTAACATGAATGTGTGCCTGAATGTGTACACGTTTATGTACAAGTGAATGTATTTGCAAAGGGGAAGTGTACTTAGACCGTATTTTACCTTCTATGCGGTGGTGGTCAGTCTCTTGAATCATTGTGTTCCCTTTATACCACACAATTTTCTGTTTCCCGGGATAACCAGAAGTATCACAGGTCATTA